CCCCAAAATCGTTGTAAAACCCCAAAAGCCCCAAACTAATAGATTACAAAGAAAAATTCCCAAATCGTCCCAAAACCATGATTCGGTCATTCTTGATAGGTGGGATGGAGGGCTGGAGACTTTTGAGATGGTTTTTGTGTTGTTTCCTCGGTATCTTGAACTACAGGTGGTATTGGAGGGCTCAAACAATCGGTGTAGGTGCTAGTGCACGATGATGATTGTGCCTGTGCTTTCTTTTCCCGTGCATGCCAAGTGCTGGTGCACGATGATGCTTGTGCTTGTGCTATTTTCTTAGCCATGCTAGGTGCTGGTGCAGGTGAGGGAACCAAATTTGGTGTTGGGGCTAGTATACATAAAAGGACAATGCTACATTAACAAACCCATCTAGGACAGCCGCCCCTCCAATAGGGGCCCATCACTTGTCGAGTTTGTCAAACATTTTGTACAATATTTTGTACATATATCTTTATCCTACATAAAAATATGACAAATCATCTTAATCTTAATTTAAACACTTCAAAAGTAAAAATTTGAGTGAAAAAATCGTGGAAAATAAAGTCAATCAAATACAGCTTTAGTTTTGTCGTTGAACATCTTGCCGAACTCTTAAATGCAACTCTGTTGGGCCAGCCTAATTTGAGCTAAGGAAATTGTTACAAAAAGCACTAATTGGAGAAGCAAATGATTAGCACTCATTTTTTTTTTAGAATTTCACATTTCGATCTGTAGCATGTTTTACATATACATAAAAATATCACAAATCATCTTAATCTTAATTTAAACACTTCAAAAGTAGGAACTTGATTGAAAAAAAAAATGATATTTTTCAAGAAAAATAAAGTCAATCAAATCCACCCTTAGTTTTGTCATTGGGCATCTTGCCGAGCCCTTCAATACAAGTCTGTTGGGCCAGCCCAATATGAGCTAAGGAAATTGATACAAAAAGCAATAATTGGAGAAGCAAATGATTAGCACTTTTTTTTCATATATATATAGCATGTTTGACATTACATAAAAATATGACAAATCATCTTAACCTTAATTTACGCTAATCTAATAGTCTTAAGTATAAAATCACTATCTCCACATTCAAACACAGCCCAATAAAAATATGAATAGATCTAGAATTATTTTTCTTTGTCAAGTTTTACCCGACTGAAATCTTGTGTGGGTATTGAAAGTTTCGAATGTCTACACAGTTGTTTACAGTATTTAAAATAAATTAAATTAAATATCACTTAAAACTTGACATTAGCCTCTGTTTGGTGTAGTAAAAAAATCAGATTTTTAGTAAAATTTGATAAAAGTGAATGAAATATGTTGTTAAAAACTTGTGAGTCTCATGAAATGTGTGTTTAAAATTTATTGTTTAACTTTGACTTAAATTTTTATCAAAATTTTAAGCTGTACCAAACAGTTACTAGGTGGAAATACATTCTACTTTAAATGTTTCTATTAAGGCTTGTTATGTTATTCAATTAACGGTAACTTCATGATGTTTTTAAATAATTATGCTTTCATTTTCTCTCAGACATGTGATCATCAGACAATGGAGTCATTTTCTGCAACATATTCGGTGATGCTATCTTCATTCTGATCCAGGTCCGTTCCTCCGCGGGCTTGTCCCTCATTTTGATCAATTACTTCTGAAATCTCCACCGTTGATGAATTCTACATCTGATCATGTGACTTCAGGTTTTCGATAGTTGACAAATCACACAGCTTAACATCTAGTAAATTATTTTTTGACTTCTGATCTTGTACATGGCATATAAAACCGTCTGCGCTATTCCGAATAAAAATCCAACAACGTTTGGAGCCCTTTTTATAAGTTTATATAGCAAAAAAATAAAAAATAAAAAAAATATAACCCAAAGATTACCGTTGGGAACATGCCCCGAAATTAGGGTTCTAATTAATCAAAAAAGAAAAAACAAAAGATATGAATTTGAAGAGTCTTATAATGCACTCGCAGCTATGTAGTAATCCTTGATGAAAAGACCATAGAAGAACCATAATATGGCACATAGTGTGAGAAATAATGAGAGAGGTAGTGGCATGTATTCAACAATTTTTGTCTTTATCACTTGCCTCTGCATTAAATTAGGGGAAAAAAAAGATTCATTAATTTTTGCCAAATTTTTTGTAAATTTTAGTAATTCTAATTAAGGGACAGTAAAAATTAATTACTATAATGCTAAGAGGAGCAGCAATAACAATGAGATAAATGGCTGAACAGATGGAAACAACAATTGTCACTCTCTTATGCCCCCTTCTGTAGAAAATATGTGCGTCCGATGATCAATCCTAGTGTTCCTATATAGAATAGGATGAGAAGCTTTGTGGTAAAAATCTGCAAATTGTAAAGATAAAAGTTTTGGTTAGTATAAA